ATTCTGATGGTCAGAAAACGACATTGTAACATATCAGAGGCCCCTGGCCAATGTTTTTGCTCTATCGCCTAAGCCTGGGGGCCCCCATTGGGGTTGGGGCCCCCGGGTTCTGCCGGTCTGAGCCCATAGTAGTTACGCCACTGACATCACATTCGGACTAAAAATAAAATAAAATACATTACATAGAACAGACATATTAAGTAGGATAAACAGACGAATATGGCAGAAACATGTACATCAAAACAATGTAGAATGAGATTATAACACCACAAAGTCAAAGATCACACATAATATTATGTATACATGCACTTATAAATCTTAACAAAAACGTTCAGAATTAGTAATAAAGTCCTGCACAAGTGAAAATTTAACATCAGGATGTCCATATAAAAACCATTGAAGGCGCATCGAGGTTGTTTCATTTGCTAAAGTGGAGCTTTTTTTATGTATTTTCCCCTATGTACAGCTTTGTTAATATTTACAAATATTTTCTAATAATATTGGGCTAGGGACCTACTAGAAACCCTAACAGGCTTTTTAATTTAGGCCTCTATGTTTCATTAGCAGTGGTTTTAGCCCTAGAACCGATCGATGTTCGTCAGTGCCATCATTACAGCAGCCAATCAGATGCATGCTAAGGTCCGGTGTCAAGGGAAATTTCTGACCTTTGCGAAATACCTGGCCAACCGTGACGGCTCACCTAAAGACAAGCAAAAGCATTTTAAACGTTAACCATATGGCAGATGAGGCCGCAGATCTCTGCTTTTTCACATTCAGAAAGATATCTGACTCTGTGTATTAATATTGTATTAGTATAGGAAAAATATGATTGAAAAACAGCTTGGGAAAAGCTTTTTCGAAGAAACACGTGTTGTTGTAGCCGGCAGTTGCGAAATTTGTGAGCAGATGTAAATTTATTTATGCGCATCACACCGGGTCAAACGTCGCTCTTTTCATGCAGAGCGACATTTCGTTTCTAATGTAAATCATGGATTAACATAAACATATAAAATAGGTACATGAAAATAAATGACATATAACATATATTAAAACAGACTGATCGTGACGCATTAGGTTCGTCGCATGAGAATTCGAAGTAATCGAAGAACGACGTTTGAGGGATATATTGTGTTTCTACTATGAAAACCTTCAAATAACTTATTTCGATCTCCCCCATATATAAATCAGAGGACAAAGAAATGACGCGGGGGCCTTGGAAGCTTGAACCCGATCCAAGCCCTGGCAAGTTGCAAGCTGGTAGGTAGGTAAAAAACTTTATTTCACCACGCGCTAACCCCTACAGCAGAAAGCTGATTTCCAAGGGGCTCGTAGGTGGCATAAAAAATAACAAAAACATATCTACATCAGAGACACTACACATATACACTAGAATATTATAATTTATATAATATGATTACCGGCCAGGCATTGCAAAATTAGTATTAAAGGAATAAAGAGAATCAGACTTTTTTAAGAAAGTCAGAGTGAGGATGAGGCAGAAAGAGCTTATATAGTGGAAGAGCCTCGTAAATTGTAATATTGGCAGGAAGGAGTCTGTAGAAAAATATCAGCTAACGTTTTTGGCGCTAGATTATGCGTAATTTTATACATTGAAGCTAAATCTTATATTTGGTAATCCTTTGTATTACAGGGACAAACATTGGGGATTTCTTACGCAATATGACCAAAAGGTGAGAAATTAAATTTAACCACATAACTCATAAGGAAACAGGCCATTTTATAGCATTTTATTCCAAATGCTCAGTGATTCTGCAGAGATCATATAGACATAGTTTCTGAATCCTGGATTGCTAGTTTGATTAACCCATATAGTCTATCAAGATATGATGATCTGGAAACTAAACAGAATTTATTGTATTATGTTTTTGTCGGAGTTTATGTTAATTTATGCATGGTCACGGTGATTGAACTCATTGTGTTTTCGTATAATGAAGTGATCATCCAATAGAGATCGGAAGAGCAACGTGCAAACACGATGAAGAATATTTAATGACGTTGAGACAAAGGATTTGTGCACGATGAGGGTACAATGCAACATCAAACAAAGGTCTTCTAGTTTTCCGGGCTTCCATCTTGACAGACTTTGGGTTAACCATTTCATAACTTGTCACATGACATCACACCATCATAATTCATATATGATACAGCATCACATGATCGCACATGACCAGTTGATCACCAATTGATTAACCACACGACCATCACATGACTTCAATTAATTGAATATGGTTTACTACCTAGGTATGGTTTTTCACTCGTTTCCGAGTTCCAACCATCAAACTGACGTTACGTCATTTTATATCAATTTTTAAAGTTGATTCTTTTTGGATTTTCTTGATTAATTTGGTTAGAGTAGGGGTATATGGTTTGTTACATAGCCTTCCGTCAAAGACGTCATGTCAATTGACCATTTGCGTAATAGACTAAATTTTGATCTCAACAAAAATTTCATTACAGCTTGAAAGAGCATCACAAAATTAGTAATATTCCAAAGTTTCGTTGCAAAATGTTGTAAAATGCGGAAAATATAGCCTTGCGAAAT